CTCTGGCAAGATGTTCTGCTCCTGAATCAGCTGGGTGGGTCTTGCCTCTAGCCTCTTTGCAGAGAGTTCTGCTGAAGGGTTCCTCACTGGGCCTGCACTCTGGGTCGAATGAAGATCCGTGGGCCCTGGGTGGTCTCACTCACTCTCAGGGCCTGGGCTCTGGGTCTATTCAGAATCCGGCGGGCCCGGGTCTTCTCACCCACTCGCTGGGTCTGTGCTCTGGGTCTGTTCAGGATACCGTGGCCTCGGTCAGGTCTGCACTCTGGGTCTATTCAGGATCCCGCGGCCCCAGTCGTCTCACTCACTTCTATACTATACTTTTTCTTTTTTATTTTATTTTATTTTCTTAAATGTATTTAGTACAGGGTCTACAGGGTCTCACTACACAGATTGGACTTGTAGTGATCCTCCTGTTCGCAGCCTCCCAAGCACTGGGATTACAGGCACACACCACCATGCCCAGTCCAATCGCTGACTCAGCACACCTGGGGGCAGGGCTGGCATGGCATGTGGTGCAGGGGATTGAGCCCCTCCTTTTATTTTAAAGAAAATAAAAAAGCATTAAGGAATATAGAATTTCAAGACAAGATGATAGGAAATTACAATGGTTGTTACATTGCATATTGTTATTTTTAAAGTAGTTGTTCAGATTACAAGATAAGTATGCAAAATTGGTCAGAAATTTTTTAAAAATGTTAAACAGTTATTGTTCCCTTCAGTAAACCAATAGAAATTAGTAGTATGGTTGGCTTAGTTATCTTGTGTGTATGTATATAATTTTCTTTCTTTTTTCTTTTTCTTTTTTTTTTTTTTTCTCCTTTCCCTCATCCCAGTTGTTCTTTCCTTTTGAGCAGTTTCTTTCCCTTTCACAATATCTATTGTACTTTTCGGATTTTGCTTACTCTTTCAGTTTCTTACACTCTGGAGATAATACCATGCTTACACATGCAGGTCTGATTTATTTCACTCCATTGTATAAACATATTACATCTTTTTTATCCATTCCTCATGTGCACTTTTTTATAAATATGATATCAGTGCACACTATTTGCCACCAGCTTTTTCCTTACATCAGCACAGCAGGACTTCCTCCATCCATGATTATTCAGTATAATGTAACAGAATTTTTCCTGGCTGTGTGCTATGGTACTATGATGAAGTGTTACCGTTTACTTAGCTATTCTCCTTTCTTAAACATTTAGGTTATCCCAAGTTTGTAGTCTTAATAAATTCCATGGTCACTCTCTTTCCCATCTTGCAAAATGGTGGGTGAAAAAATTTGAGAAGCTAGACCCTAAAGAGAAGAAAGGCAAAGCCACAAAGGCTTCTGCCAGTGTACTGGTAAAAAGTGTAAGGTGAAGGCAAAAAAGTCCAAGAAGGGGCAGCCCCACTGCAGCCGAAATCCTGTCCTGGTTAGAGGAATTGGTAGATACTCCGATCTGCAATGTATTCCAGAAAGGCTTTGTACAAGAGAAAATACACAGCTGCTAAATCAAAGGTTGAGAAGAAAAAGAAGGAGAAAGTTCTTGCTACCATCACAAAACCGGTCGGTGGGGACAAGAATGGAGTTAGCCGAGTGGTTAAGCTTCGAAAAATGCCTAGATACTACCCTACTGAAGGTGTGCCCCGAAAGCTCTTGAGCCGTGGCAAGAAACCCTTTAGTCAGCATGTGCGGAAACTTGGAGCTAGCATCACTCCTGGCACCATCTTGATCATCCTCACCAGGCATCACAAAGGCAAGAGAGTGGTCTTCCTGAAGCAGTTGGCCAGTGGCTTGCTACTTGTGACTGGGCCTCTTAGCCTGAATCGTGTTCCTCTATGAAGAACACACCAGAAATTTGTCATTGCCATCTCTACAAAAATTGATACCAGCAAAGTGAAAATTCATCAACACCTCACTGATGCTTACTTCAAGAAGAAGCTGCAGAAATGCAGACACCAGAAGGGTGAGATCTTTGACACTGAGAAAGAGAGATACCAGATTTCAGAGCAGCGCAGGGTGGATCAGAAAGTTAGACTAGGGCCCTGGGAGATGGCTCAGTGGAATAAGTGCCTCCCAGGCAAGTGCAAGGGCCTGAGTTCAATCCCCAGTTCTGAAAAAAAAAGAGAAAGCGGTAGACTCCCAGATTTTAGCAAAAATCACAATTGTTCCTCAGCTCCAGGGCTACCTGTGATCTGTTTTGCTTTGACAAATGAAATTTATCCTCGTAAATTAGCGTTCTAAATTTCCTACTAAAAACCTAATTAAATAACTGATACATTTAAAAAGAATTTTCCATGGTCATTTTTGCTGAATTCTTTTAAGGTGTATTTCTAGAATTGAAATTTCTTAATCACATAATTTTTAAAACATGGGACAAAAAAAAAAAACACCATTGGGCAAGGTGGTTGTAGGAGATGGTAGAAGGGAAGAGGAGAAGGAGAGAGAGAGCATAAGCAATAATTTGCATTTTTGAGGGTGTAAATGCAAATAACCAACTAGTCCTGATAGATCAGTGATGCTGAATGTTAAAAGTTTTCAGTGGTAAACAGCGAGCTACAGCATGTGTGCTGCTGGAATAAGTTGTAGTGATTTGCATTCCTGCTAGTGTTGGACAAGTGTGCACACTTCTTTTCATTGATAGTAGACATTTTCCTCCATTGTCGTCACCTGCTACTTTTTAAAAAATTATGTTCTTTTGGGCCAGGGAGATAGCTCAGTAGAATAAACGCCTGTCTGGCAAGCGCAGGGTCCTGAGTTCAATCTCCAGTACTGCAAAAATAAATAAATAAATAAATGTAAATTATGATCTGTCCAGGCTGTCCTCAAACTCCTAACCTCAGTGAGACTCTACCTTAGCTGTGGGTAGCTGGCACTACAAACATGCTGCCCCAGGTCCAGCTACCCAGACTTCTTTATTTGGTATTACTCATTTTCATGTTTACTAGCCATTGCCGCTGTTGTTTGCAAATATGGAACTCACTGTCTTGGTATTAGATAATTCAGAAATTGCTTACTGTTCATCAGTCAGCCTTTTCAGTGGGTTTTCTTGTTTTCTTTCCAGGAGCGACTGAAGCTGGTGACTGTTTTGGGTGCTGGCCTGCTCTGTGGAACTGCACTGGCAGTGATTATGCCTGAAGGAGTACACGCACTTTATGAAGATATTCTGGAGGGTGAGAGAGAAGAGCCTATTTCAAGATATGTTGTTAGAGGGTTGTCGGGTAAAGGTGACTTACTGATGTTGTAGATATCTTCGGTACTTTTGACATTGAACACCTCCTTAGCAGTTTGTGAATTGAGTGCCCCATTCCTGAATTCTACTTACTGTGTATTTGTAATAACAGGTAAGTTCTGTTCACTTTAAGTGTAACAGTACTATGTTTTAATGCCCGCTCAAAGCCCCCCCTAAATTCCTCATGGTAGGGGTTGCAGCTTTAGTGTTTTGGAACTAAGAGTCTATAGAGATAGTCACATTTGAACTAGGGACCCTTTGCAGTAAGCTCTGTAGATGATTGGTGAGGACCCTGTTGGTGAGAACAGTTAGAAAATGAAAGAGGCCTTTCCAGATCCTAACCCTGATGGACAGGATAGTACTTGGGCAAGAGAAGTGTTCTGTAGCTGCCAGCTGGGTTCTCTCGCCACCTCAGCAACTTGGTCTTTCACGTCTACCTGGAAGTCTTGATTCACATTTGTGACTTAGCAAAACCAACCTGTTAACTGAATAGCATGAAAACTTACAGTTACCTGTGAAGGGCTGAAATCACAGCTGTTAAATCAGGAAGTGGAACCTTCCAGTGCCAATATCTGCTGGGCTGTGAGAATAATGGGAAAGAGAGGGGCCTTCCTGATTTCTTGCTAAGGATTGTGTAATAAATACTTTCTCAGGGCTGGCCAGATAGCTCAGTGGACTAAAGCGCCTGCCCAGGCAGAGTGCAATGGCTGGGGTTCAGTCCCCAATGTACCATGCTGGCCCTGCCCCCACCCCTAGGGAGCACTGAGACAGTGATTGAGACTGGGCATGGTGGTGTGTGCCTGTAATCCCAGCACTTGGGAGGCTGAAAACAGGATCACTACAAGTCCAGTCTATGCAGTGAGACCCTGCAGACCCTGTACCAAATACATTAAACAAAACAAAGCAAAACAAAACTTTCTCAGACCTTAGTAAAGGAAAAGCACCACATCCTTTCTCTACAATGCTGGTGCTTTTATTCCTGGAGTGTGACTATGGACAAAGTGGTATTTTGTGGGTGTTGCAGTGGCAGATGTTAAATATGGACGGGACCAACAGTTGGTCAGCTTTAGGGGAAGCTGTCGGGGGCCCTGTAGCAGTGTTTTCTCCTTTTTCTGGTCTCATCCTACCATGGAGAAAAGCGATGTATATCACACTGCACAGATTCACTGTGTTATAAAATGCACTCCTGAAGCAGAAAACCTTTGAAGCCTGAGGTTTGAAGTAAAAATATACAGAAGATCAGTATTTGTTCTTGTATTCCTATGATCCTCTTGAATTTTTCTGGGATGTGATTATTGTCCTGTAGAAGTCACTGTCCTGCTGTATTAGAAAATATGTAGAACATGCTTGAATGAACCATTCAAAATGTTTTTATTTGGCTTTGAAATTAAGGAAGAATTAGGGGTGGCAGTTGTTTTCTACAAGTGTCTAATAGTGAAAATTCATTGAAGGAGGGCTGCCTTTTAGAAAAAAGTTTCTTGGCTTCTAACCTAGACTGCAGAGTCAGTCTCCAAAGAAGGAACCTGTGAATATGTATTTTTGCCTTGTTTATTTTGGTCTTTTTTATTTTACTGCATTTTTTTTGGTTGAATTGTTTTTTAGGGGAGGTTTATTTTTTGTTTTTGGTGCTGAGGGCTGAACCCAGGGCTTCCAGCTTGCTAGGCAAGTGTTCTACTGCTGAGCCAAATCCCCTGCCCTGAGAATGTGTATTTTTAACAAATTGCCCATGCTTCTAACTGGACAAGTTAAGGAAACACTAGGATAGAGGCATAAACTGCTTCAGGTGGAGTTTGGAGTGTGTGTGTGTGTGCGTGCGTGTGTGTGGGTTTTAATATGGAATATAATTCATATGCCACATTCTGGACATAGTTCTAAAGTTCAGTTGAGCTATTGTGTGTCAGGTTGCTTTTCTTTATTTTTAGTTTTCCTGAGTTTGGGCACAAAATAGTTTTGTGGGTTCATTTGAAAACATTATAAAGTGCTAAAAATATGCATGTTAGTCTTTCACCTTTCATGATAGATTAGCTTGTAGCTCTAAGCCATCATTTAATGTTTGTTTCTAATGGGACTGAACCCAAGATGCTCTACCACTGCACAAGATCCCCAGCCTTTCTGTTTTTTTGTAAATTTTGAGATAGGATCTCACTAAATTGCCCAACCTTACTTTGTACCTGAAGTCCTCTGCCTCAACCTCCCAGACAGCTGAAATTACAAGCATGAGCTATCATGCCTGGTGTATTTAAATTTTTAAAAATTACTTTCTTTTTTTTTTTTAATTTTT